CCCCCCCCCCTTTCCCACTACAGTAGGTTAGGGTATTTTTTCTTTTTGAAGAAACTCTGAATTTTCCCAAGGCCTGGGGGATGTTCGGCCTACTTTTGACTTGTATGAAACTTTAATTTTCTTGACATGCCTTTTACGTTTATCGGTCTATTTACTTCAATATACATGGTTGAACCTCTCTTCTTATATGGTTGTCCTGGTTGTTTTCCTTGCCTGGTCATCTTTGAAGTTGCTTGGTTATACTTGCCTTTTCTTTACCATGCTGGGTTGAACTCCCAAGTCAATAATAGTACCCGGCCATAAACCTTAGGAATCGTTTAAAGAAATGTCCAGGTCATCTCACGTCCTGGTCTTTAAAACATCCAGGTCTAATCGGCTTGGTTGACAATTTTCTAGTACATGCTTGCTTCCAAGTCAGCAAAAGTAACCGGTCTAGTTATGGTTATATGCCTAGGTTTGGTAGTCCATATTGAAACTTTTGCAACCGTCCTAGTCTTCCTATCTGGAAAACGTCTAGGCCTGGTGTGTTTTTATAGTGTCCAGGTCTAAAACGTCCAGGGCACCTCACGCTTTGGCCAGTCTTATGGGCCGGCTTGCTGCTAAGTTGAGCTTCAACAAATGTCCAGGTCATCTCATGTCCTGGTTAGTAGGCTAGGTTGAAAGTTTTGAAGAGCATTTTAGATGCAAGGCCTGAAAACTTCCCGGTCATCTCATGTCCTGGTCTCCAGAGTTGAAAACGTCCAGGTCACTTTGTTTCTAGCTTGTCAGGTTGAACAATAAACGTCTAGGTTAAATTCGTCCCGATCAACTTCCAATGGCTTGGTTGCACTACGTAACTAGCATGACGTCAAATTTTCTGTCCAGGTGCCGGGTCAAAAATGTGACCGGTCAAAAAATATTTTCCCAGACTTATCTGATTTCATCAAATCCGCCAACTAAAAAAGTGACCGGTCACTTTTCTCAAAGTTGACCGGTCAAATTTTAGATTTTTCCATTCGCCATTTCTAGTCATTCTAGAACATCAAGAAGTGACCGGTCACTTTTGACCATGCCCTCTTCTTATATCCATCTAGCCTGTCTGTCGTGTTCTACTTCTTCCTTGATCAAACTTCGATTGAATGTTCCGAAACGGCTTTCGTCTTAACTCTCGACATCAAGACCCGACCTTTTCTTTGGAGATTTTGACCATGTCCTATGGTCGCGAACCCTCTCCAAGGTTCAGCCCTCTTCCAGGCAACACCTTTCTTCCAGGGCCCCTCTTCCAGGTTTTAAGTCTTTTAATGTGTCATTCTCTAATTATTAGGTTGACCTAGCCAACCTAATCTTCCCACATGGGGGTATGCCGGTGAGAACCAGCCCTCATCCAATCCTGCACGTCCATATATTATGTGTTCGGAAATTCTAGTCTTCCCTAGACATTCCGATCCACAAAGGATGGCTCATACAATACGGTAATATTTTTTTTTTGGCATCTTTTCTAACACTTCCGACCAAAAAGTCGGTAGGGATCCATGTAAGTATGGATGCGAATCCTCTTCCGGATCTAGCCTGTCTCAAGGCGATACCTCAACATCAAGGCCCCTATCTCAAGGGTTTCTTTTTTTTTTGTTTTTGCTATCAGCCCATGCACTGGTCCAAGTCCTAGACATCAAGACTGATCCGTCTACAACAAGCTTAGTAATCTTGACCACATCTTACCCACCCTCTCTTCTTTCCCTGATCATATTCATTTGGGTGGATTCAAGTACTCGCCTATGGGTCTTCCTCAAGCCCCGTAACGAATATAATATTTCACCCAATTCCCCTTTCAAGGTCATCTCCCTAAGCACGACCCTCACATTCCGGCAATCTGTCGTGTTGTGAGAGTCGGATTGGTGGTAGGTGCACCACTTCTCTGTCCAAGGCCGCTTGTGTTGTTCTCCTTTCTTCTCATCCCTTATTTGGTGGATGGACCCGTCATATGTGGCCTTTGGCTTGGACCCTCCCATCTGGTCATCCTTCTTCGGCTTGTCAGATTTCACCTTTGTATGGCCTTCCTCTAGCTCCCGCTTGCTCTTGTTCAGGACCTCCGCCTCGGCGTATTCCCATGCCGTGTTATAGGCTTCTTGATAAGAGGAGGGTGGCCTTCTACAGAATTCAGTGTAGAGGTCACCCGACCGGAAGGCATTCATCAGTAAAGACATGGCCGTCTTATCATCCATCTCTTCTACATTGTCAACCTCGTCCCTCTAGCGGGTTAAGAATTGAGTCAAGGACTCCTTCTCCCTCTGCCCTACCGTGTTAAGGTAGGTGAACTTCTTCCTCTTGATGCAGTTATCCTGGTACTTCTTGCGGAAAACATTGGCAAATTTCTCAAAGGACCCAATCCTGCCATGGGGAAGGCCATTAAACCATTCCACAGGCCTCCCTCTCAAGGATGAGAAGAAGAGCAAGCACTCCTCAGCATCAATGCACCCGGCCATCTGTGCTGCATTGTGGAAGGTGTCAAGGTGGACATTTGGATCCTCCTTTCCAGTGAATTTATCGACGTCCAGCTTGACCTTCCGCCTCAATTTTTGTGCATGTACCCTGGCCGAAAAGGGTGATTTGGCCAGGGTGTGCTTCTTTGCTCCCGCCTTCTCTTCCACCTTTTCCTCCAGGGCACGTAGCTTTCATCCTACGCTCCCTATCTTGTCCAGGTCATCTTCATCATATGAGAGCCTGGTATACGCCGATGCCCAGGGCTGGCTTTCAACTTCATGGGGCGGGACAACTCCCACCAAGCCTTTCAATTGCGCTAGTCCGGCCCATCTCAGGACCAAGACGTAGCTTGGCAGACTTGCGGGGTCCATCCTCTTTGTCCCCTAGGCGTTTGAACGCCGAATCTCGAGTTTTGCTAGGCTTGACTATAGCCTTACCCTTCCTTCTGCGGGCCACCTCTTGCTCCGCCTCGTCCACCTCGTGAACATTTGAGGGTGCTGCCTCGTTCATGATCCCTGTCAAATTCACCGAGCGCACAGGGACCATCCTTGGAACGACTGTTGATGGAGTCGACACCGGGGGTGGCATAATTGGTGGCGTCATGCCAGGATAGGCAAATGGCATGAAGCCCCCTGTCTGTTGCATCATGGCCATCACCTGTTGATAGCCCTGTAGAGCCTGAGCATTTGCCGGGTCAGCAGCAAATTGTGCCCAAGCTGACGGGTATGGTGCGAATGCTCCCCCAGGCGTTGTTATCGAGCCTGGGAATATTGTTGTCGTTGGAGCAGGAGTAGGGGTTGACATGATTGGGATCATGCCAATTGATCCTACCGTGGTGATCGGGGCAAAGGTCGTCCGCATGCCTGGCATCATCAATGGGATGGCAGGAGTGCTTTCACTCGCAGCCTGGCTTGACACAGTGTTGTGGTTGCTTGAAGACATGATTGTGGATATTTAGTGGGGTTAAAGTTTTGACCTGGTCGAAAAAACTTTAAAAATCGGTCCCACGGGTGCCGCCAAAAATGATGGTGTAAATATAGATGGGTGGGTTGACCGGGTTTGACCTAGACACTTGACCCGTAATATAAAACACACAACAAGAACACAAAGTATGACCTAGACCGGGTAAATCTCCTCAGTCCGAAATATATTTCTTACTCTGTCTCAAGAGTATACTAGTTTTTTAGTGAGAGAAAGAATGGATCCCCTTCTCTATCCAATATCATCATATTTATAGAGGAGGATTTGTGACCTTCTCCTGTTCATCCATGGACAAAATAGGAAGCTCGTGGGAATTTCACTGTAGATAATAGAAGCACTGTACAATCATGGACTTGCTACTAATACAACCAAAAAGCACTGTTCAATCAAAGACTAAAATGGATATTCTCAATCTTATCAACCCTGCAAAATGACAAACATCCCTTTCACTGTGTGCATCGTGATAGATGAGCGGCGGGGTGTCCCCTTGACCTCTGACGTGGTTCACCATGCCTAAGAGACTGGACCAATGTTAGCCAAGTAAAGTGATATGACCGGTCACCTTCTTTAAAAGGTTACCCGGTCATTTCTTGCGCTCAACCCGTCTCTTTGGTCTTCTAGAATGTCCTTCGTAGCATAAGGTGATATTTTCGCTATCGCCCAAAATGTGACCGGTCACTTTTTTAGTGGAAGTGACCGGTCAACTTTTGACCCGTCCCAATCGAAGAGTTAACCTCATTTGGTGATTGATAAAAGTGACCGGTCATATTTTGACCTGTCCCTTTCGGTCATCCGGGTCAGGTATAAGGATATACCCATCAATTACCATTTACATTGCCAATCACTACCATGCGTACGATGCTACATTATCGCAGTGTGAACTTCTATTTAGAAAATAAAAACATGTAACTCTTATTTTGATATTTTTCTATGTTTTAGTCATATTTAGGATGATTTATGTAACCTAAATTTAACAAGGGGAATTTTCTTAATTAGCACTAAAAAATAATGACTTTCTATAAATAGCACCACATGTGTTTTTCTTTCCAATGTAGAACTTTTAGTCATTATGCATTAGTCATTATTCAAGCAAATATTCACCATCACTGGACATTATGGATATTATTAAGTGCTATTTAGAGAATAAAACAGTTTAAGTGCTATTTAAGGAAATGACTTAAGTTTTAGTGCTATGTAGTGCAAATATTTCATTTTAACAATTAAATCTGATAATTGTACTCGCATATTTTAATACTTCGTACGTACTCCCTTGGTTTCTAAAACTCTTTCTTTTTGTTGTGTCTCAACTCTCAAAATCTCTTTCTTATTTCTATTAAAAAAATTCATTTTTACCACTATTAATTCAAACTCTAACCATCATATCATATTTTTCACTAATAATGTATCTATCCAATTCTATTTTTACCTATCTTTTGAAGAGTAATTTAGGAAAGTCAACATAAAATATTCCAATATTAAATCGCATAAAAATCAAAATTAGAAGTATTTTTAGGGACTGAGGGAATACTGATTAACTAATTGCTTATCTATCACTTTCTCCAATAATAACTACATTTTACATTTCACAATTTTTAATATCACACTTTGACTATATATATATTAATATATACGGAGTATCTTTATACTCCTTTTTCAGAACTTATTATACCCTTTTTTAATACCTTAGTTTTAAGAAATGAATTTAAAATGTCAAATAAATTATTCAAATGTGTAGTTAATAAGTCACCCATATATATATATATATATATATATATATATATATATATATATATATATATATATATATCAACAATGCATATACCCTATCTCTAGTACTATGTACAGAGTATATTTTACACTATTTAATACTCTATCCTGCAAAAAACTTCTCATTTTGACTTTTAAAGAATTTAAGAGAAGTGTATTTTGGTAATAACTTTCCAAAAATGCCCTTTAATGTAATGGATAAAGTAAGATATGATGGATAGATTAATAGAGAAAAAGTATGATGTGATAGGTAAGTTAAAAATTAATAGAGGTAAAAGTAACTTTTTAATAGAGAAAGGGAAGAGTATTTTGGAACATATGAAAAAGGAAAGAGAAGAATTTGGTGGGACGAAGGGAGTATTTATCATAATATCTTTACTGAATATCAGAAATGGAAAACTATTACAGACAATAAAATAAGAAATTAATGAGAAATAGTTAATTAGGATTAAATCACGCTTCATATACCAATATACTCCCTCCGTCCTATAATGATCTTCCCGGTTCGCAAAACGAAGAAAAATCTCAAGTTTTTTCAATCTATTTTATTTAAATATTGGTATAGAAATAAAAAATAAAACATACATATTTAAAAACTACACCAAAAGTTCAACAAAACAAGTGGTGACAAGAATATTTTATTTTATCATATAGGCCATGAAAAAACACAAATAAATATAAATTCCCGTAAAGTTGGAATAGTGCTCTGGGAAGATCATTATAGGACGGAGTGAGTATAACGTTTAATATTTTCATGCAAAAATAAGATTTATAGTGACAATAATCTCGAAACATAGTTCTAAAAAATATTGTAAAATATAGCAATACAAAATGACAAATTATAATATTCGACAATGCCATAACATCTATTCAGGCCAGGGGAGACAAAAATATAGAATGTCTTGTTTTGATACAAGTTACATGTTTTAGTTTTATTATGTAGATTTCTTAAAGTTAAATTAAATCCAAACAGAGGAAGTACATAAGTAAATATTTTGATTTACAAAAATACGATATTTCAAAACTATTTTCAACTAAAAAGTGTTGAATTGAAGTGAACTTAAATGAACTAAATTAAATATAATATACTCCCTCCGTCCCGTGAAACATGGGACATTTGTTTTTTAGGAGGGATTTAAGGGAGTGTATTTTGGTATTGAATTTCCAAAAATGTCCTTTGATGTGATGGGTAAAAGTATGATTTGATGGATAGATTATTAGTAAAAAGGTATGATGTGATAGTTAGGGTATAAAAAAGTAAGGGGTAAAAGTGACTTTTTTAATAGAAATGAGAAGTGTTTTATGGGACGGATAAAAAAAGAAAGAGGAAATGTTTCACGGGACGGAGGTAGTAATCGACTTTAATTAATGAATGGTTATACCTTCTCTTTTCCAAATTAATTATTTGAATTGGATAACGAAACTCGAATTGATTTTTTTCAATCTAAATTATTTATATAATGATATAAAATTTACTCCGTAACTTCTAAAAATTCTCTCTAAAACGTATACGATGCATGTGACATGACTCTTATTTTTACAAATGGTTAGCGAAATTGAGGATAGAATGAAAAGAAAGTTTGACATGAAATAATTACTCTCTCCCTACCTAAAAACCTTTTCGGTTTTGATTTTTTAATCAAATAGTGACATTTTTTAACTACAAATTAAACGTAATCTAAATAGTTAAATGATATAAATATACTCCTCCGTCTCTGAGTATTTGTCTACCTTTGACTTTTTTCTGTCAAAATTGGTAAACTTTGACCTCAAATTAAATAAAAATGATATTAGATATTGATACAAAAAGAGTTTTATTAGATTTATTATATCAAATGTTTTCAAAATATTATTTTATTTAATTAAAATACAATGTATATTTTATTTAATTATAGGTCACAGGTTGAAAATAGTTGACTGAAAAAAGTCAAAACTGGACAAATACTCAGGGACGAATGTAGTATGATGTATAAAAACTGTATCCTAAAAATTTATATTATAATTATATATACGGCAATTTATGATAAAAAAGTATTAATGTTAACTAAAAAAGATAAAATAGAAAATATTTTTAGGATGAGAGGAAATAATAATTATTCCTGTTATACGGAGTAGTATTCTTAGAAAACTACGGAGTATTAATTTGGGACGGGAAGAATAATTATTACTGTTATAGTATTCTTAGAAATGTGTTACGGAGTATTAAGGATTAAGTCAATGGGTATCCCAATTCCCCGATTCTAAGCAACATGTTGGGATGGAAGGTGGGATGAATTGGGTTCATCTTCTTCCCCTAACCATCATATCATCAATGATTAGTTGATTATAAATTTGTTTTATTAAGAAAAATACTTGTAATTAACTACGCATTCATTTCATTGAAATTAAGTGCAAACAAATGTTAAGAATAAGGTGCTTTGACTGGAATAGTATAGGGTACGTATATTTTTAGTGAAACTTGTACTAAAACATATTTCCTCCATTCCCAATTTGATTACAAATTAGGGTTTATGAGGAGAATTATCTCAATTTTTAAATAAATTTTATTTACAAATTGATATATCGATTAGAAATAAAAATTACATATTAAAAAACTATGTCAAAAGTTCTACAAAACAAAAGGTGACAATAATATTTTATTTTATCAAATACTTAATGAAATCGCGTAAACAAACAAAAATTATCGAGATGAGAGAGAAAAGAAAATTGTAATCCAATTGAGGACTGAGGAAGTATGTTTTATACGAATGTATAGTACTCGAAAAATGTTTAGTGATGAGAATAATGTCGAGTAATGTTAGACATTTGGTTTGTACAATATCCAGTGACGGTAGATATTTACTTAAATAATGACTAATTGACATTGAACAATGATGCTACCTTGAAAAATAAAAACATATGGTACTGCATTAGGGAAATCACTATGTTTTAGTGCTATTTTGGTAAATTTCCCATATTTTTTTTCATGAATTGTAATGTATTCAAAAAATTTACAGTAATACTCCAAAATAATTTTGATTTTACAAGAATATTCTGAAAACCAATTAATTAATTACGCAATTAGTTCCACAATTACTCTATTTTTACAAAATACTCCACCCGCCACCTCACTTGCACAATCATATACTTCCACCTCGCTTCATGTTTTGTAGGATTCTGGATGTAGTTTGTATAAACTTTATATTTAAATTTTGCACCAATTTTCATATAAAACGAATTGAAAATAATTTCAGTCAATTATCATAAATCAGAATAAGTAATTTAAATTGAGACGAATGAAGTAACACTTAAATTACATACACATTCTTTGAATCCATCTTTTTTTCCAAAATATAAAAATCTTATGGACGGAAGTAGTAGTTTTCAATCATAATATGTTACAATTTGT